GGATAACTGAATGATATGGCCATAGTCAGCTATGCCTTAGCTCCAAATCACCAACAGTTCTACGTTTCACTCTGTCTCATTCCAGAAAAAAGCCTCCATTATGCTGTGTTCAGAACAACAAACCTTAGCCAGATAATTTACACCCATGCTACTTGGAGTGAGGGGAAGTTGCTGGGTGTAAATTATCTGGCTAAGGTTTGTTTTTCTGAAGAAAAGCCATAGCTGGCTGCAGCTGGGTCATCTGAGCACACCCTTACAATACAGAAAATAGGAGAAGAGGTTATCTTGGCATAGACTATGTGGTCCTTGTGAAAATCTTCCCATATTTCAAGAATAAAGTTTATAATATGAAGTTACTCATGCAGATAGAAATGGCTCTTGTTTAGAAGGCATAAAGGAGCAGGTAAACAGATCTGATGGCTCCTTTTTTAAAAAATATTTACCGCTAATAGCATCTACTCATCTCAAGGACTTTTATACTGAAATATTAAACTGGCCTCTTTGGGACACTGTTCAGCTGCTCAGCCTTTCCCGTATATTATAAAAATCTCATCAACACAGGTGTTTGGGTCAGCACTAAAACATTAACTGAGCCCACTTTTGCTGATGTGGATTTTCTAATAATACTTTTCACAGTACCTCTTCCTTCCAGCAATCCCCTTCTGAGTACTGTGCTAAATTTTAACATCACTGCAAATGTTATTAACAGTTTGCAGACTTTTTTCTTTTGCTTTAATTTTGAGCAGCAGAGAATTTCTAAGACAACAAAGCCATTTATCACAATAGCTGCATATGTTTTATGAAAATTAGCAAGAAAAGAATGGGAAGTGGAATTTGACACAGAAGATCTCCAATTCCCATTGGAAAACAAATCTTAGGCTGTCATTTCACATTGATAAATAGCAAAGCAATTGAGCTGAGATCCAGGAAATATGCCTTGAAGAGATAATAGTTGGTGCACAGCATAGTATGAGGGCACATGATGTCATTAACTTGTTGAACCCAGTTCTGATTCTGATGACTCAATGAAAGTTCCCCTAGAAAGCTATGTATGATGCTTTGAGCTCTGTTACAGAATAAGAGTCAAATATAAATACATCAACTTTACACCCTTTTTGCAAGCTGAGCAGATTTAAGGAAACTATGGGAAAAGATCCAAGCAGATGAGTATAGCATGAGCATATCGAAGGCCTCTGATCAGATCAAGCAGAACTTATGCAAATCCCAGCTTACTGGCCAGCCTTCAGCAAGCTACCCTCTTTGTACAATATGATGACTATTTATTGCTGTTGAAAGAATTATCACAGCAATGTAATACTGTGAAGCATTTTGAGAAGTAAATTGTAATACAATATTCAAAAATAAGGAGAATAGCATTTGGTGTCACGTCCTGGAAAACCAGATGCAAAAAAAGCAAGCTTCAATTTCCATCTGAGCCAATGATTCATTCGCTGTGTTTGTGTGACATGAAGGACACGGCCATTAGGACTACATGAAGTATTCAAGAGAAGTATTTTGCATAGTCAAAATACCTGATGAGCATGTGTCTTGTCAAGTTTTTAATAATGCAGCCATGTCTTCTGCAAGGCTCACCTCTTCAAAAGCTTCTCCTGGCTATCTCCACATGTGTAGGCATGCACACTCACTTTTGCAAAATCTTATCCACCAGCCCTTCCATTAAAACAGAGTTTGTTTACCACAAACTTATGGCTTGGTCACATGGCAGCCATTTTCTAATTCCTCCTAATCACTGCAAAGGAGCCTGATTAGAGTCACTGCCATCCTAATTTGGGAGGGTGCTATTGAGAAAATAGATAAGTTTTTAGAAAGAAAGAAGGAAGAAGAGCCAACTCCCAGGCAAGTAATTTGCAAGAGAGTTGGGGGAATTAGCTGATCAGAGGGAATTAATTTAGCCTCAAACAGGTTATTTGTGGGGCCGCCTATCCCTGGTGGTTGCCATAGTGGATATGCTCTGGGTCCCTTTGGTGAAGCAGGGTCACCTGGTGGGGCCTAGGAAGTGTGCCTTCTCTGTCATGGTGCCTGCCTTATGAGACAGCCTCCCTCAAGAGATATGGCTGATCCTGACCCTATTGGCCTTTAGGAAGGCAGTGAAGACGTGGCTTTCCCCCCAGGTAATGGGGCCAGGATGTGAATGAAGTTCTGGCATGGTTGTGTGTGGTTTATGGGTATGATTTTTTTACTGGAACCTCAATTTTTTTCTTTTTTTTGTCAAACTGATTTTATAATTGGATTATGTTTTTATGCTTGTTCACTGCCCAGAATTGCTCTGGTACACAGGTGGCCATATATAGTACATTTCATAAGTAAAATACAGTACTTCAAGTAGTAGACTAAAATTAACAAGTATATTATGTTAAAAAGTTAAAAGATTAAACCTTAGTAATTTTTAACTACTGTACCTCAAGTTATTTGTGGGTGGGGGAGGGCTTGTTTCCATTGGTCTAGGAAAGATCTTTGCTCACCATAGCAAGTGGCTATTTACAGGCCTGTGAAATAGCAATAAATATAATTGCAACTATATTTGCAAAATAATTTCTAACTAGATTAGTAAAAGCAGATTTAATGTAGTGCGTCAATGGAAAGTGAACAACTTAGCCCTCTTTTCAATCAGCCTTTGGGTTCCCCACGGATGTTCAGCGTCAGATGAACATCCCACAAAGTAATACTATTCAAGGTTTATACAACATACAGCACCAGTGGGTGATCTGAGAAATGAGCAGAGAGCCAGCCAACACTCTATAATTTCTCTTAGTGCCTCAGATAATAAGCATTTGAGTAAAGAAAGAGGAAGCACCTGCCATCTGTGTCAACATGCAGCAAGTAAGGCAAAGCCATGAAATTGCTCACTGCTTTCCTGACAAAACTGCCTTCAGATTTGGCATTCTTCACAATGCCAGCCAAGCAAAACAAATGAAATACAAGATACAGAAGCTGCTTTTCAGACCCTGGGCCAAAACACAGAAGTTCCTACATGGCTTTGCCCAATGAAAGGTGATTAAACTTGCCAATATTAATATAAACATGCAAAATAAAATAACTATAAAGTCAAGAGTTTATCAGCCCTTTGAGGTAGAACCAGGGCAGCACAGACATCACAAGAAATATGAGAACTGTTTTATTGATATAGGTTATACTAAGAGAATCTTGAAAACCTAATAAGAGTTTCAGTTTCCCTCTCTCTTAAACCAAATACAGTCAAGGCAGGGCTATCTTGAATTTCTTCCTCATACTTTCCTCTTTTCCTGGAGTAAACTCATGTTCTACTAATGGTTGCTTCATATTTGCTTCAAGGCCACCTCTCTACTCCTCTATGTTTGTCAAGAAAAAATGTTGGGCTCAAATGATGGAGGCAGTATCAGTGGATCTCAACAGGGTAAATACATTTATCTGTGAGTTCCACTTAAAACTGTTGAGGAACACAGTCTTAAAGACTAACAACATTATGCCTTCATGAGCTTCTGGGGGTCAGAGCCCTTATCAGTGGATGCACGATGGTCACCTCACTGCATATAGGATTTCAGAGAAAAGATAGCACAGGCCAACTAACACAAGAGATCTACATTATAAACTGAAATTAAATGTTAATAGAATAAATAGCAATTCAAAACAAATCATTTTGATTAGACAAACTGATAAAGTAAGATTAATAATGTATATTTGCTTTCTCCAACCTAATACCTTCCAGGTGTATTGAGTTCCAATCCTCCCCTCCCACCCCAAGCCAGCATTGATGTGGAACATGAAAGATTGCTGTGGAACATGAAAGCTGCAACCCAACACATCTGGATGCACTCATCTAGTAAAGATAAGATTAATGAACATTAAATCTTAAAGAGGAACAACAGTGTTCTTTCTAATGCATTCCTACCATCAGAAGCAAGCTCTTCTGAGCTAAATTACATTAAATCTATGCTAAACAGGTATAGTTTTTTAAAATCATGATTTATTAGATCTACAGCTTGCTTTTCTTCCAAAAGCTGAAGGCAGTTTCCATAGACATCACCCTTCATTTTATCCCCTGCAACAGCAGCCCTGTAAAGCAGGTTGGGCTAAGAGCGTGTCTGGCCCAAAGTTGCTCTGTGGCTAAGAGTGGACTTGAATGTTGGTCTTCCTAGTCCTTGTGCCACTATACCACAGTACTCCTATTTTCAACTGCCTTGAATTTAAGAAAAAAAAAATCAGGAAATACACATACATCCCACAATATAAAAAAAGGGAAGCTGGGTACCACCTCCAACAAGCACACTCTTCCAGCATCATCTTTATTTGGGCTCTCATTGGCCTCAAAGAAAGTCTTAGAAAATAAAAGTGGCAGGTGATAACAGGCCAGGGCATTGTTAGGAGTCCACCCCACAGTTCATAGAACAGATGAAGGCAAATGGGGGCAAGCACCCTCCTGGGATAGAAGAAAAACCCAGCTAGTTTGCCTTCAGCTAAATGGGTTTTGTGGCAACCACAGCACGACAAGCCCCCTCCCCAAGGCAACACCATCCACACCAGGTTCTCAAAATTCAGAGTTTCCCTGCCCTTACTTTAAGGAAGAAACTCAAGATATACCTTCTGAAGAACGGCTGGTAGTTCAACAGATCCCTGAGAGGACCCTCCCATTACAGACTAGCATTTTGTGCCTCTTAAGGCATGTTAGAATAAAAAGGATGGAAGCTTAAGCATCCATAAAATGAGCTCGCCCCTTCCTCAGCCCACGGCATTCAAATCTACCCCAGAGATACCTAGCTTTCCCCAAGCTGATGCCCTCCAGCTCTGTGGGGACTACAATTCCCAGAATTCCTATAGACTTTCCTTAAAAAAAAAAAAAGGCTGAAGCTTCTACCCCAGTGACTCTCTCCGCCGCATTGGCCCTGGCATCCCCCGTGGGAAACATGTAAGCATCCCCTCCCGCCAGGAGCCGACACCTAACGCTCTGCTAGACGGAAAGAGAAAAAGAGACCACGCAGCCCCCCGCCCTTCTCGCTCCTCACCTGTATTGAGACGTTGGAGCCAGGCCCCCTCCTAGCAACCGAGGAGGAACAAGAAGCCAAAGCCCTCTGAGCATTCTACATCCGCCCGGAGCTTCACTCACTTCCGCTCGCGTCGGAGCGCTTGCCCGGGTCGGAAGGTTCCTACTTCCGCCCTTAGATGAAACCTCTACGGATTCTCTGCAATTCCGAAGAAGCGGTCGACCGTGTGATTTTTTTTTTTAACACGTGGTTCTGGGCGTGTTGGGAGTCTGCCTTCTTCGGAAATGCTAGGAAAAGTTTCTTGAGTGGGAGACAAGAGGAGGTCACTTTCTTCGTAGTCAAATAAAGAGAATCAGGCAGTTCCATTAAAGGCTAACAGGCTTACTATGCAATCCTGTGCGTGCCTTCTGAATTCCACCGTGTTTACTCTCAAGTCAATGAGTACAGCGTGGAAATCTTACTGCGGCATGAGCTTTACGGACTCCGTTCTTGGCGTAGTTTTTGATACGGTTGTGGGATTAGTTGCCATCAGATTACCGTCAATTAATTATTTAAATTTATTGGCAGCCCCACTCCAGTGGACTCTTAAGATTTCTTTTTAAAAGGGGATTGACAAATTCATGCAGGAGCAGGCTCAAAAGGGCTGCTTAGACTTGGTGGCTTTTACGCCTTTGAGTTAGTCTGGTGACTACATAGGTAAATCCACCCAGTTTTCTTGGCAACATTTTTGGAAGTGGTTTGCCATTACTTTCTGGAACACCAAGAAGCAGCAATGCTCTGTATTCCCCAAAAACTGGAAATCTGAAAAGAATTTTGAATCTTCATACAATCTATGACAATAAAGGGTAGGCAGAGCTGCAGGGAAAATAGGTTTTTTTAGAAGATGCAAGAAGATGGAACTAGTTAGTTTTACACAAGTTATTTTTACACTAACTCAGGGAGCTATTTACAAGTCTCACATAAGTTCTTAACAAGGTTGCCCTTGCCTGGCACATTTGTATGGGAGCATATTCCAGAACTAATTTAATTTTATATATATTAT